ATAGTGTTGTGTGTTCCACAGTTATTGTCAAGTGTTCATGAGATGGATGGCCTGAGGGAAGAAACTGTTCCTGTGTCTGGCCGTTCTGGTGCTCAGTGCTCTGTAGCGTCGACCAGATGGCAACAGTTCAAAGAGGGAGTGTGCTGGATGTGAGGGGTCCAGAGTGATTTTGCCAGCCCTTTTGCTCACTCTGGATGAGTACAGTTCTAGGAGAGAAGGGAGGGTTGTACCAATGATTCGCTCAGCAGTCCGTACTATCCTCTGTAGTCTTCTGAGGTCAGATTTGGTAGCTGAGCTGAACCAGACAGTTATTGAAGTGCAGAGGACGGATTCAATGATAGCAGAGTAGAACTGTTTCAGCAGCTCCTGTGACAGGTTGAACTTCCTCAGCTGGCGAAGGAAATACAGCCTCTGCTGGGCCTTTTTAACAATGGAGTCTATGTGAGTGTCCCACTTCAGGTCCTGAGAGATAGTGGTGCCCAGGAACCTGAATGTCTCCACTGTTGTTACAGTTCTGTCAGAATGGTTACATGGTGTCAGAAGTGATGGAGTAGTAGGGTAACAATGAACTAAACCTGAAGAGCACTCATATAAGGAGTCTAAGGGGAAAATGGAGAGAGAAGTGCCAGCCCCACCAATGTTGGCCTCACAGCTGGAACCGCCAGGCAAGTTCGACTTCACCAATACAGCTGAATGGCCAAGAATTGCATCGGGATTGGATAAACAATCACAAGAATACCAGATAAATACGTTCATGTATGCTGCCAGCGAAGATGCCGAAGAGATTTTGTATGTGTTACCCTTGACTGAGGATCAGAAGGAATTGTATGCTGCAGTTACGGAAGCTTTTAATAAACATTGTCTTAGCAAACGGAATATCATTTTTGAAATAGCGAGATTCAAGCAAAATCAAGAGCTGGGGGAAGAGTGTAGAGTTGTTAATTACAGCGGTTCATTCACTTGCTGAGCTGTGTGATTTCAGAGCACTAAAAGAAGGTTTGATAAGAGACCGGATCATCGTCGGCATACGCAACACCAAACTGTCAGAAAGTTTATGGTTAGATGCAGACCTGACGCTAGAGAAAGCTATAACAAGAGTAAGACAGAGCGCAGCAGTGAAAAAGCAGCACCCAATACTACGCGGAGCAGAGCAGCCAATAGGACAAGTGGAATCTTTACACAGAAATGACAGAAAAATGCAGACAACATTTAAAAAAGAAAACAGAGAACTACTCATCGGGATGTGGCAGATGCGGGGGATGTAAAGAAACATCACTGGAAAGACTGCCCATCTCGAGATGCTGACTGTAGGAAATGTCACCGTAAAGAATATTTAGCAAAAAAATGTCAACAGGGGATGTTAACGACATTACAGAGAGGCAATTGGAGACCAAAGAAGGGGCAATTTTGCTTTTTTTGGGAGAGGTGTATCCACAGGAGAATGACGGGTGGAATGAACTCATTAGACTGAATGGTGTAAACACGGTTTTCAAGTTGGACACGAGAGCTGCTGTTACAGAAATTCAATTACCTGTTTGGTCCAGGTAATCATAAGCTTAATGTAAAGGGGCGATTTAAAGGCCAGTTAAGTGTTAAAGATAAAACTACTGAACAAGACATTTATGTAGTTGCTGGACTGTCTAAGCCCCTACTGGGCCTTCCTGCAATAGAAGCCCTCACATTAATACAGTGTCTCTAACAAAGTACATGAGCAACAGGACGACATCAGAGCCAAATACCCCTCAGTTTTCTCGGGATTGGGGAAATTAAAGGAGACTTACACAATTAAGCTGGAACCGAGTGCAGTGCCATATGCCCTTTCATCCCCATGCAGGGTACCTCTTCCCGTGAGAGATAAGGTGCGTGCTGAGCTGAAACGCATGGAGGACATGGGGGTTATTTCCAAAGTGACCCAACCCACCCCAGGGTGTGCGGGCATGGTCGTTGTGCCCAAGGCTCAAGGGAAGATATGGCTATGTGTCAATTTGACCCACTTAAGTGGGTGCGGCGAGAAAGACATGTTCTCCCAGCAGTGGACCAGATGCTCACAATGCTCTCAGGAGTCAAAGTTTTCACAAAGCTCTACGCAACATCAGGGTTCTGGCAGATCCTGTTGTCCCAGGAGAGCAAACTGTTGACAACATTTATCACCCCATTCGGGACATATGCGTTGAACCGTTAACCATTTGGGATCTTGACAGCCCCAGAGCATATTCAATGCCACATATCACAAATGCTGGAAGGATGTGAAGGGGTCGTGTGTCATGCAGATGACATATTAGTATACGGTAAGGATATGCACAATCACAATGAGGGACTGCATTGTGTCCTCAAAAGACTGCAAGAAGAGGGGTTGACCTTGAATGAAAAGTGTATGTTTGCTGCAGACAACATTATGTTTGTGGGTCATCACATCACAGCAGAAGGAGTTGCACCAGACCCTGGCAAAGTCAGGGCGATTATGGAGATGCCCGAACCAACTGGGGTGGAAGGAGTGCGGAGACTGCTGGGCATGGATAATTATCTAGGAAAATTTTACCTCACCTTGCATTGTACACCCGTCCACTCAAAGACCTGCTTAGTGAGAAAAATGAATGGTCATACCACAAAAGGAGGCAATTCAGAAATTGAAAGCTGAATTGAGCTCTCGTCAGGTGTTGGCCTCATACTCACTGTCAGCTGAGACATGTGTCGCTGCAGATGCCTCCTCCTTAGGCCTGGGGGGTGTTCTGAGTAAAAACAGGCAGATGGAACATGGAAACCAGTGGTGTTCATCTCCAGGGGCCTGTCTGAGGCAGAAAAACATTATGCACAAATAGAAAAAGAGGTCCTTGCCGTCACGTGGGCATGTGAACATCTGTCATCTTACCTCCTTGGTCTAAAATATAGACTAGAGACAGATCACAAACCACTGCTTTCACTGTTGAGCACCGAAGCACTAGATGAGCTCCCTTCACGAATCCTGTGGTTCTGTCTGAGACTGATGAAGTTCACGTTCGACATTGTGCACATGCCTGGTAAGCAGCTCATAACTGCTGATACATTATCAAGAGCTCCAGTGAAGCACACGTTTACGCAGAAAGAGAAAAAGGATGAGGACGATGTTAAGGTGTTTGTGGATGCTGTGGTTCAGGATGCTCCACAGCATGGATGCTCCTAGTGGATGCTCCCAGCTACTGATGCAAGGTTGAATACAATAATTAAGAATCAGAAAGCCGATCCCATCTGTGCAAAACTCATTTAATTCTGTGAGAATGAGTGGCCGGAGAAACATACTGATGCAAGGTTGAATACAATAATTAAGAATCAGAAAGCCGATCCCATCTGTGCAAAACTCATTTAATTCTGTGAGAATGAGTGGCCGGAGAAACATACTGATGCAAGGTTGAATACAATAATTAAGAATCAGAAAGCCGATCCCATCTGTGCAAAACTCATTTAATTCTGTGAGAATGAGTGGCCGGAGAAACATGTCCTTCCTCCTGATTTGGGGCCATACTGGCCTGAAAGATAAAATCTTACTGTTGCTGGAGAGCTGCTCATAAGGGGCCAAAGGATTGTGATTCCCCACTGCATGAGGCAAGAGGTCCTCCACAAAATACACGAAGGTCACCAGGGTATAGTCAAGTGCTGAGCTAGGGCTCGCCAGGCCGTCTGGAGGCCAGGATTGTCCGTACACATAAGTCAGCTCATGGAAAACTGCAGCACATGCTCACAGCATAGGGCAGAACACAGAGGACCCTTGCTGACTACCCCAGTGCCTGAGAGACCCTGGCAGCGGGTGGGCACAGACTTATTTTTCTGGGAAAAGACTACATACAGTATCTTCTGGTTGTGGATTATTTTTCATGTTACATTGAAGTAGCACGTCTAAATATAGCCACAGCCAATATAGTTATTGCAGCACTGAAGGATGTGTTTAGCCATCACGGAATTATGTCAAGACTGTTATGTCAGACAATGGACCACAGTATAGCTGTGCACTCTTTAAGAACTTTGCAAGCGGTTTTACACACATTACCAGCAGTCTGAGATACCCACAAGAAAATGGTGAGGCAGAGCCTTCTGTTTCTTGTGTGGATTTATCATTAAAGGACTGTTTTGGAATTACTCCTGCATCATGCGCTTAGTATCAGCACCCAGCACGTGACACAGATCACCCAGCTTACAATACAGAGCCTTAAATACAAACCATTTCACAGTCTGCCCTGCCGGACCTGAGACTTGAACCTGCAACCTTCAGGTTACAAGTCCGACTCTCTAACCATTAGGCCACGACTGCCCCACAATTAATAAAAACTGAAGTCATTAAAAATAAGTCATTACTGAAGTCAACAGTAATACTGAAGTCTTTCCATTCATTTTCAATGCTATAACAAAGATGCAAGATTTCAGCATCTGTGTTTGTATGAAACCAGAGAGAACAAATCCGTGATATCCAGATGAATGTTATGTTATTCAGCGTTGCTACTGATGACAGTAGTTATCAGCACATAACACACCTCAGAATGTTGCAACTGACAAGTCAGCATAAAGTATGAAAGCACCTTATACTGGATTCAAAACTTAATCAGCAACCCGTGTAATGATGCAGGTGAACAGGTGAGATGTGGTCTCTCTTTGTTAGTTGTTAAAAGCCTCACTGCAGCATTTTGGATAAGCTACAGGTGAGCGATATGACCAAAATCCAATATCACGATATGAGTTATTTTATTTCACTATACGTAGTATGCTTTTAATTTCAATATATAAAGATGAAGCCTGTGCAATTAAACACTATCTAAACAGACTTTCTCCCATCCTCCTCCAACTGGTTCCCAATCTTCCTCCAGAAGTTATTTAAAAGGTAACAGTGACACTGTTTTAAAGTTTATTCAAATCACAGCACTGGCAAAAAAGAAAAAGAAAGAAAGAAAATAGTTATATTTCCCCACAATGATAAATGTGCTGTCAAATATCCCGCTCTGTGCTTTGGAGAGAACTTGGGGAAACAACCAGGGTGGAGCACATCTCTTGACTAATGTTTTCCTATTTTTTCCTGATACAGAGACACAGAGAAATGTTTAAGTTCAGCATGATCAAGACATTTATATTTGATTATGGGATACCAGGGAAAGCTGAGTTGCCTGCATGTGTGCAATGTGCTGCACAAATCAGGCCTTACCTTGCCTAACAAGAAACTGTGTTAAAACTGAATGTACAGTGTGACCAGTAATATCTAATTTGTCAACAAATGGCTTTACATCACTACGGCCTAAAGCTACTAATGCAGCTGGCTTACAGCACCACTCAGTGGTCAAACCACAGAAACCACATAAAAATATAATCTGCCAAAGAAATATCAAATGAAATGTCTTTAACAGTTTAGTTTCATGCAGCTGTCAAATGCAAAAATACAAGGTTTGGTTACTCACCCTAAGGAAGAACTCTCCTCCATCGTTGCCAGCTTTAATCCTGAAGGTGTAGTGTGCACTGGAGAAGATGTTTGTGGCTTGAATCTGGAAGATATCTGCTGGTACGGTGCGCTCTGAATGAATGCTCATGTATTTGTAAATGATAGACTGCGGCAGGCCTCGACACGCACCCGCAGACTGGCACGAACACCGGCTAGGAATAAGAGCAAGAACATTACTCTCTTTTTTTTCCCCATGCTTAAGTGTGAAATCAAAACTTATGTCTCTGGTGAGTTCTGTGATCTTCATTTCTAGCTCTAGTACTAGGATATAAACACAGACTGACTTACTTTTCCGACGTCAGCACGTAAGGCTCCTGACACGGGTTCTGAGGGTAACAGCGATGACCTCCGTAATAGTTCCAACACATCTCATCTTCCCTACACTCGTGAACTGTGTCACACTCATTGATGTCTATGATGCCAGAGAAAAGACTGCGATTAGCAAGAAGTCATATCTATCCTATGAATGAACATTCAGGCAAAAAGCACACAAAGTTTTTCACGTTGAATATCACATTTCAGTCGGACGTACGTCGAATTACAGAAGTAACATCGCTACTGGAAATTCAAATGGCAAGACACACAACATAAACTTCATCTAACATATTTCCCTGTGTTCAGAACAGATAAACAGCCTTTTTGTTTCAAGTAGGAAGGTAACACTTTAGTGTTGTTGTTACATGCACTTTAGTAATAACAGTAAATCATGCGTAATTACATGCAACTAACCTTAAACCTACAGTAAGTGCATGCTGTTAATTAATTTTACTCCGTGCTTAAATGTATAATTACATTGTAACAAGGACACCTTGAAATAAAGTGTAACCCATGTGAGCTCTGCATTGTTTCCGTTAGCAAGTGGTTGGGAATTCCTGGCCCATCTTGCTCTGATGTGAAATATCTGGGTGTGGATGGATAGAGAGGAGGCCAGGCAATGACGAGTGCTATATTTTATGAAGGAGGAGGCCGGTACCTTGACACATTCTTGTTCTCTGCAGCTGATATCCCTCGGGGCAGATGCAGGAATATCCACCCGGGCTGTTAATACACACATACTGGCACATGTAGCTGGAGAATGCACACTCGTCGATGTCTGGACAACACAGCAGAACAACACAAACTCAACAAACAGCGACAATTAAACATCCATCATCTTTGCCTAAAACCAGTCTGAAAACTATCTAGCTAATGATAAAGAATTACTTGTAGGGCTGTCCAATCAAAATTTCGTACTCAAACAATTGAATTTTAGATGAAAATGCACAAAATGCAATAACTGCATTTCAATTTGTATGATGTTTGGCATGTTTGTGAATGAGCACCGGTAATCTGAAGTGCTTAGTAGCAGGTGAAATAACACCCAAACATATCACGTAATGAATGTGCTCTTTCCGTAAGAACGCAATGAAACGTGGATAATAAACAACTAACATAAAGAATTCACAAATACTTTATTACAATACCCTATTCACAAAAAGGACAATTTTTACATGTTTGTATTTAGTCGTTGCGCCCTCTTGGTGTTCACTCATCTTTATTTTTTAACTGAAATAATTTCTTTAAAATCTGAATGCAAGTCAAATTTTTTGAAATATTATATTAAAAAATGTTTTAAATTCAAATGAGTTTTTGCACCCCTTTTGACAGCTCTCATTACTATGTGTTAAGCACTGAACCTGCACAAACTAATACACTTGGGCAAGTAGAAAGTGCACTCGAAACAAGCACAGGAACATCCAGCATTAGCACTTACCCACACAAGAGACTGAATCCGGCGCGAGTTCATAACCCTGATCACACTGACAGATATACGAGCCCAAGAGGTTGAAACACTGATGTTGGCACGACTGAGTCAGATCACACTCGTTCACATCTGAAACAAATCCATACACAGTTACTGAACACAATTATACATCTAATCTATCGACAGGTAATTTACTCAGTCATATTCAGCACACTTCCATGTGTAATATTGCTTGTTTACAATATTTTTAAACGTTAGTTAATAGTAACATTATTTATATGGACAGTTCATATATTTCTTCTCTAACAACAACAAAAAAAGGTCCAAAACAAGTCAAAGCATCAAGTAGGGGTGTGCAATGTACAGTATGTGTGTGTGAGCGAGTGTGTGTGTGAGCGAGTGTGTGTGTGTGCGTGCATGTGTGTGTGTGTGCGTGTGTATATTTCTTCTGTAGGGAAGGCTCAGGCTCA